TCTGGAGTACTGTGTCCAGTTTTGGGCCCCACACTACAAGAAGGATGTGGATAAATTGGAGAGAGTCCAGCGAAGGGCAACAAAAATTATTAGGGGTCTGGAACACATGACTTATGAGGAGAGGCTGAGGGAGCTGGGATTGTTTAGTCTGCAGAAGAGAAGAATGAGGGGGGATTTGATAGCTGCTTTCAACTACCTGAAAGGGGGTTCCAAAGAGGATGGCTCTAGACTGTTCTCAATGGTAGCAGATGACAGAACGAGGAGTAATGGTCTCAAGTTGCAGTGGGGGAGGTTTAGGTTGGATATTAGGAAAAACTTTTTCACTATGAGGGTGGTGAAACACTGGAATGCGTTACATAGGGAGGTGGTAGAATCTCCTTCCTTAGAGGTTTTTAAGGTCAGGCTTGACAAAGCCCTGGCTGGGATGATTTAACTAGGAATTGGTCCTGCTTCGAGCAGGGGGTTGGACTAGATGACCTTCTGGGGTCCCTTCCAACCCTGATATTCTATGATTCTATGATTTTTCTGTGGGGAAGCAAAGAAATCTGCAGGGAACATAAATTCTGAGCATGTGCAGTGGTGCAGAATTCCCCCAAGAGTAAAATTCTGAATTATATTTTCAGTAAAAATTTAGATTCTAAATGGACACAGCATCACTCTGATTCTGTGCCCCCTGGTTTTGTCAAGAAGGTTGGGTTGGAACTGGAACTTAGCACAAAGCAAGCCACTGTTTCTATGGGCATGTGTTACTTTCGCCCAGCTGTCTTGTGTTGTGTTGGGCTTGCCACCAAGAGTCACGGTGTGGTGTTTAGTACTGTACACATAGGCACATCTCTTGCCCAAGGAGAATTCAGTCTTGTCCCAGGTCTAACTCCGTTAATTTTCAGAAGGGCAGTATGATCCCTTTGTTTTGGAGGCCACACTTATAGCCAGCAAAAATGACCTTGGACCACAATCTCCCAGACATGGTGTTGCCCTGAAGTCTTGATCCCAACAGGCCCCCATGGCTCTGGCCCAAGATGGCAGTGAGAGGGAGCCGCCATTAGCATGCCTATGGCAGTGAGTGACTACATAAATCTCCACGAAGGAGGGACTGCCCACCTATCAGATGGAGAAGTACACAAGAGATACTGTGCCCATCCCTGCTAGGAACCAGACTTTTATCTCATTGCCACTGTCTGAGAAACAACAGTGAGGTTTGCCTGAAAGCTCTCATTCTGTACAGCATAGCTCTGGGCCGCTGCTGCTAACCTGTTCTGCGTGAAAAGTTTGGGGAGGTGTGAGAAGGTGTGGAGAGGAATCTGATGAGACAGGGCAGGTGTGGAATGGTTGTGCAGGAAGGACAGAATTGTGCACAAAGAAAGCACATTCAGGGGAGGAGGTGGGAATTGACTTCTGGTTATTTCTTCCTTATATTTAATAGCATCATTCATGTAGGGATTAAGGACCTTGTTGTGTACTTTGAATGAAGTTTGGGACTATCTCTCTGCCACACTTTTAATGTGCCCAGCACCTTAACACCTGCCAGGACCAAGGAAAAAGCTACTTCTGGCCCTACCCCACCTCTTGGATGGAGCAAACCCCCAAGTGCTCCTGTGAGGATGTCCCTGGACAGAAAGCTGTGAGGAGATGCTCACTACCCTGACATGTCATGTGCTTATCATCAGTCCTGGTCTGAGGCTGGTGGCTGGTTTACTCCCATGTGGGTGGCCGATCAGGCTCTATGAATACAGTGGAACAGGCATAGTGTGATCCACTGGGGCCAAAAACCCTCACAAACTCCCCGAAGCAGGCTCAGATACAGAGGGGAGAGATGGAGAGGCACAGGGAGGTCCCATTTCAAGCTCCATTCCCCACAGCCAGCCTGGTTACCTGCAGTGCTGCCGAGTAGTAACTTTCTTCAAATCAAGCAGGAGCCAGGCCGTTCGTAGTAAGAGGCATAGGTGCTGACTCCATGGCTGGAGCACACACGGGGAAAAATTAGCCAAGCTCCTCTTACCCCTCGTCCCAACTCCTCCTCCTCCCCTGAGCGTGCCACATCCCCGCTCCTCCACCTACTTTCCAGCGCTTCCTGCCCAGCCACCGCCAAACAGCTGTTTGACAGCGTTAGCACACTCTGGGAGGGAGGGGGAGGAGCAGGAACGTGGCGCACTCAGAAGAGGAGGCGGGGAAGAGGCAGGGCTGAGGTGGGGATTTGGGGAAGGAGTTGGAATAGGGGCAGGGAGGGGTGGGAAGAGGCGGGGCCTCATGGAAGGGGTGGATTGGGGATGGGGCTGGGGGCAGAAGGGGGGAAGTCACTGCCTATGGTAAGAGGTGGCTGCTGTCTGCCAGCTTGTGTCTGCTGTCATGCAACAGTCCAGCTCCCCTTTGCACCTTCCAGAATGTGACAACAAAAAACTAAAGCCAGGAAATGCCTCCCACACAACAGTCAGATCCATTACTAAGCCACTCAGATAAACTTAACTCTGCCCTAGTGGGGTAATTCCTCCTTAACAAGGGTTAATGTAAGTGAATTAAAAAGGCAACTGGCCTGAGAGCAAAGGCTCCCCCAGCTTGTAATGTTATCCCCACTACCTTTCTCCGGCTCCTTCAGATTGTTCTTCACAAACTCCACAGCCTGAGCCACTTCTTGGTCACTGCACACATTTAGCTGCAGCACTTTCATGCGATCTGATTTCATGCTCTCCAGCTCCCTGGTGCCATCTCCATTCTCACCCTGCCCAAGAGAGAAAGGAGAGAGAGGATGCCCTGCTCAGACAGAACAGCAGTAATCTAGCCCCGCACCAAGGACACAGGCTTGCGCTGTTGGAAATGCGCATACAGAGGCGGCGCCCAGATGGCCTATGCAATCACACAATGCGAGTCCAACCTTTGGGAATTTACCTCCCATTTCTGTCTCAATTTCCCCACCCAGCAAATAGACTGACTCTGTTTCTCCCTTCCTCACAGGTGGACTCATTGGTTACTGTTTGCCCCGCACTTGGAGGGTGTAGAGAGTTAGGTAAGTGCTGACCAGTGTCAGTGCTCTGTGGGTAACAGAGCCAACATTTTCAAAAGGATCACAGAAGTCCAGATTTTCTGGACTTGAAAGTAAAGGCTTTTCTGGCAGCTTCTCTGAATAGCTCACTCTCAAAATTCCTACCCATTCTAATTAAATGTATTCTTTCATTCTCTTTCAGAAGCAAATGCAAGACTACAATGCCAAAGGCAATTCCTTGCTGGCTGAGTCTGATAGCAAACAGTCTAGTGCTATAAGAAAGGAAAGGTATAAAACACTGAAAGGTGAACATTCTGTATAACAATTTGCATCTTTTACAAAAGAGATCAGGAGGCATAGTAATGGAAGTATCAGGGAGATGCAGTGACCTCTGTGGGGAGAGTGGCAGCCATTCAGACACCTGGTTCACAGCAAGATGGGAAAAGGAAACGCTGGGTAAGGACATCAGAACAAAAGCTTACTCCACCCTGAACAGTGAGGTCAACTCCACTTTTCTTTATGACCAGTTTCTTGTCCAGTTTTACTTCCAGGATCTCATGCAATAGCACAAAGCTGCAATATTTAGTTTGCAAGCACTGAAATGAAAATTGAGGGACAATATTTCCCCTGGAATTTTAAATAGAATAATGGAAACCGTTCTTAGGTGCTTAGTTTTGTTGGGGTTATTTTTGGTTTTGTTGCTGTGTGTATTTTGTATTTGTTGCTGTGTATTTTTTTTTTTTTTATTAAACAAAACTTATATTTGAGACCAAATTCCAAATTGTACCTGGTCATTGCCAGGCAAAGCAGGCAGGATTTGGGACTTGGCTTTAAGGTCTTTTTGGGGGTGGGGAAGGAATGAAAAACAGAACAAAAAACAAACACCTCTACAAGGTGGAATTCAATTTCCCTTAGCTCAGCCATGGACTCCAGGGAATCCAGGAATCTTAGAGCTGATATTTAGGTCACCATTTCCTCCCGTCCTTCTTATCATCAATTTTATCAGGGAGGAGACATTTGCATTTTGATGGGCTGCTATTAGTCAAAAACAACAAGGAGTCTGGTGGCACCTTAAAGACTAACATTTATTTGAGCATAAGCTTTTGTGGGTAAAAACCTCACTTCTTCAGATGCACTTCTGATTGATCTGATTTCTCCTGTACTTGCATACTAGCTTCCAATTATTGTGGGCAAAAAGGACAAGTCAAGTGTAGTCCCACGTCATGTTACAGTAGGTGAGGAGATTGCCTGTCTTACCCCACAGGTACCTGCTCCACTGCCTTGGCAGGAAGGCTGAAGTAAATATTGCATATTTACTTAGTTGCTTTTATTGGTGTTGCAGATTACCTGTCTCCTGTTCAAAAGTGCCTTCCTCTGACAACTTCAGCTAAGCAAAAGAGTCATGTGGTTAGTCAGAATGGCCTAACTTCCCACCTTAGTCATGCTGATACAGATGGGGTAACTCCATTAACTTCAATGTGGAGTTACTCCAGTGTTACACCAGTGTAACTGAAATCAGGATCTGGTCCCACAACATTTCCTTTTAAAACTTAAATGTTTCCAGGCATCACAGAAACACAGGACGAAGCAGTTGAACTTCCTGGGTCACTGGACACAAGACACGACAGCACTGCTCACACCTTTCTATGTACGTGAAAGGAAACTTCCCAAAGTGTGATGTTGGCATTTTGGTAGGCATTGTGTCAGCATCACAATGTTATGCTCCCTTTTAAAGCAAATTGTTTATATGCGGTACACTGCTGCTCACTGTATCTTGGGAAAACGTTGTTAAAACTTAGCTTTGGATCATACAAAGAGCTTTTCAGCTGCTTCACAGTGAACGAAGTGAAGCCCATCCAGCTCACGAACAGAGACTTACTGTATCTGGGCTCAAGGCACTTCTTGTTAGCTCAGAGTGCTAAGAACCAGGGCTCCCTAAGCAAGTTTTCTCCCCCCTCAGCCCTTACTAAAATAAAAAGAAACACATTTCCAGTACTTCTGCCAAACAGCCATTGGTCAATGACTTGGAAAAACAGTGTTGCTCTTTAGTATTTCTCACCTAAAACAAGAATTTTCTTCTTCAGCCAAGGAGGATCAGTTACTGCCCTAAACTCCTGCAAATCACTCAGTGCTGAGAGAGTATACTGATTTGGAAGGTCTATTTTTATATCAAATAAGCATCAGAATAACTGTCTGACATGGCTGCCCACTGCAGGGCTGGCCCTGCCCCTCCATGGTTCACCTCTTCCTTACCCCTCTGGGGCGATGTGAGCTCTGGGAGGGCTGCGGGAGTGCTCAGGCGAGGCACGCTTCCCAGGACTGTTGGGGTGTCTCACCATATCCCCCCAACGGTTCTGCTCTGTGCCTCCTACTCCCAGTGTCTCCTGAAGGGTCTGCCTGAGTTGCCTCCTGGGTGGTTTTTTAGGGCTGTGTCACTGACCCTCGCTGCTCCTGACTCTGCACCATGATGTCCCCTCGGGTCTCTGGGGGGGAGAAGAGGTCGTCCAAAAGAATGGACATTAGGTACAAAACACGGAGGGAAGCATGCAGACCTGGTATTCCCAGTGCGCCATCTGCCTCCTTTTCTCTCCTGGTGCCTGGTGAGTCCATACAGGGGACTCGTCCCTCTTGCAGACAGATCCTCATGCTAAATGAAAGTGCCCACAAAACCTCGTCCATGTCGCCGTGTTGATTTATCAGCAGAGTCTGGGCTCGGTGCCCGGATTCCAACAGCAGCATCTCATCACCCAGCAGATACAACTTCTACCCCTTCGCCTGCTCTTTGTTTTATTTGTTCTTTCTACGGCTTCTGTGCTTTCAGGCTGGGAGGGGAAGTTTAAACTGCATTATAATGTGTGACAGACACAAAGTGAGGGGGTGATATCTTTTATTGAACCAACTTCTGTGGGTGGAAGGCACAAGCTTTCGAGCATCCCAGAGCTCTTCTTTGGGTTTGGGGAAATGTTTAGTCATGAGGTGGTACTGTATGAAGCATACTGCACCCTATCTTTGCTGAGTGATGGAGGCAGTCGACACTCTTTTTTTACAATAAAACTGTTGTGACTAGCACCTATCTTGCCTCTGTGTGTGTGACTAACACAACATGGGGTCAGAAGATAAACAGAAACGGCAGAATTTTGTCAAAATGCTAAAGGTCCCCCACTCCAGAGAGACTCAGCTTCAACAGACCGTCCGACTGGCCCAACTGGACGGAGCACTTTGCATGTTTTTGCATTACAACTAAACTCCACAACGAGACAGGGGAGGGGAAAGCTAGTTCTCTCATCTGTACCATGGGCAGGGAAGCTGAATGTGTCTTTCAATCCTTGGCCTTTGGAGACGAGAGCCACAAGAACAATTACTCTGCGGGGGCTGGCTAAGTTTGATGAGCATTTTATACCTCAACCTAATGTGGTTTATGAGCGAGTGTGTTTCTACCAGCATGTCCAAACACGGGGGAGGCTGTGGAATCTTTTATAGGAGGCTTGTATGACACGGCAGAAAATTGTGATTTTGAGGATAAAAGGGAAGAGCAGACTACAGACAGTGCCTGGCATTTTAGCAACAGACTATCAGAGAAACTGCAAATGAAGAGAGATTTCTAGATAATACTAGTCTAGATAATACTTAGTCCTGCCATGAGTGCAGGGGACTGGAAGACCTCTCGAGGTCTCTTCCAGTCCTATGATTCTATGTAACCCTTCAAAAAGCAACAGAAATGACAAGACAATTGGAGAGGACTAAAAATCAAGAGAGACCAGAGGCTTCCAGAAAGAGACCTAGAGAAAGTGACTTACAGAGTGACGACAGGAGATTGGCACAGCTGTAAAAAGCAATTCAATAAATCCTCAAAGGCAATGTTTGGGGCTTTGAGGATTTATTACAATTGCTGCGTATGATGTGGGAAAAGTCACAATCCAAGAGGTGATTGTCCACCCAAAGGAGCCACATGTCATAAATGCACAAAAACTGGACATTTTGCCACCGTCTGCCCATGAAGGGGTTGACTCTCAAATAGCGCCTTCTTTTGGCTGGGCGTGGCATAGCAATTCTCTCCACATCATGTACCTTCTGCTGCTGGTCATTCCAGTGCTGTGGTCATCTGCCTCTTCCTGTGACTTGGACCATCAGCCAGGTCACTTTAAAGTCTCTCCTCTTCTGGGTAGTTAATGAACAAAAACAAGGGGAATTAACAAAGATGTTCATCCCAAAGCTGGGTCAAGGCTCTCTTCCTTCAGAGGACACTCATCAGTCTAGGGCCCTAACCTGCATTTGCAGGTAATAGAAGGCAGTGGTTCCCTCTCAAGGTGAGTCAGCATCTGACCCTCCCTCCCCTCAGGAAGGGGCCGTTGGGCAGCAGTCAGCTGGGGAGCTCTGCTTCCAGTCTGCCCTCTCTGCAGCAGCCGAGGACTGAAGGTCTGCTCTCCTCCCTGGTCTGCCAACAACTGAGCTGGGTTCTCCCTCTTCATCTCCTCCCTCCGAACCTACCATTTCTCACACCTGCTATGGGGCAGCGACACCTGAGCCCACACTAGCTCATTAACCCCATGTTGTCCATGTGGGGTCTGCATACCCCATCACCCTGCTGTACACAGGCAGTACAGGAAGTGAACACTGCGAGTCAAGAGACCTTTTTTCTGGGCTCAGTCACATGTAATGACACAGAGCCAGCCTGGAAGGTGAAACTGAGTATCTGAGGCAAGACTTAATGTTAAAATAGATTCAGGTGTGGATGCAAC